ATACCAAGTAGACCAACTAGATGGAATATTAATTTTAAAAGATAATTTGTTATTATTAATATTCAATGTCTGTGTTTTAACAAAAAAATTTAATGCTATACGCATTGAGCGTAAATACTTTGGATCTCCATCAGTAGAAAATCCCAGTACACGAATATTCCTAGAAAAAAATTCTTGATAAATCATTATCCACTTTTTTACAATATCGATTGAAGTTAGTTTATTATCTGTGCCGTACGCTGCTAAAACTGAGGGTGGTGGTGCTAAACCAAGAGTACGATCATGAATAGGTTGTATCAAATGTACATTTACTAATTTAGCACGTGTTTTTGTTTCAATTGCAAGTTTTAACTGTTCAAATGATTCGTAGTTGAAAGCATTTTCAATTGGAATTCCTTCCAAAAGTGGTGTAACAAAACCATTGAAAGTATTTAACGTTGAATCATATTCAATTTTTGGAATGATAGCTGAACAATCTTCAGATAAAAAAATAAATTGACATTCGATGGAATCAAGATAATTCTTTGATTCTTTAAAGTGGAGTTTAGCTTCTGAAAAAGGATTATGTGTATAATATTTTTTTACTGTTTGAATTGATGGTAAAAGAAATTTAAGATTCAGACGAATATATTCGTAAACATAAATACCAGCAAGTATAAATAGACAAGTAGCAAATCGTAATACAGGTAATGAATATCGATAGTTATTAGATGATCGATGTCTATTTAAATCAATTGTATTTAGTAATGTGCATAAAATATCTGAACTATTGGTATTAGTAGATGAAATCTGAATCATTCGAGGTACAAAACGAGATAGATATTTTCAAATTTAAGCGTTACTTACGTTTTGTTCAGATAATTTGTTGTTATTTTTTTTTAATGAAGAAAACTCAGCTGGTCGATCATTTTGATCAAGTTTACGCTTTTATGATTGTGATGAATTGCTTTGATTCACATTCTGTAAGTCAAAAAGTAAAAAAATAATCAAATTGCATATATTCTCTAACGTACTTGATCCTTTAACGATTTAAAATGCTGATAGTTGGATGATGAATTAGTAGTTTGCTTTTGACGATTATTTATTAGTTGCTAAAACCAAAGCTATATTTACAAACAAAACAAGAATCACGCATACAGTTTTCGGATTTGATGGTGTAGTAAATGAAATAGAACTTTGTGTTTCATCTTCTTTGGGCAAATTAGTAGCTGATGGTTGACTATTATGTCTGTTTATTACGAAAAAGAAATAATTCTTGCGCATTATTGTTAATAAATACTTACTGATTTTTTTTAATTGTAGCTAATAAGTCACGATTTCTATTATTTGATTCGGCACGACTTTTATTATTTTGACTCAGACTAATTATTGATAAAAGCAATGTTTAAGTATAATTTTAAAAAAATTAAATTTACGTTTTTTTTATTGTAACTGATGCTGACAGATCACTATTATTAGTATGATGTTGAATAGAATAGTTTTGAGCAGTTGGTCGATTACTTTCATTTCTTAAAGCTTGATCATCAAAATTCATTTGATTTACAACGTTTGATGAACCATCCAATTGTTGATTTATATTATTGATAAGCAATGTTGGTTTGTTGTTAATGACCTTCAAATGTTTCATAAAATTTGATAGTTGAAATCGATAACTTTTTAAATATAACTTTATTCTTTCGTTGCATATACATTCTATTGAGCAAGTTGGTACAATAGGATCACTCGTGTTTTCGATGATCACTTTGAAATCTTTCGTCGATATATTTGTATAATATTTACCATGAATATTATAATTAATATTTTTCAATAATTTTTCAATAGATTCTTCTATTGACAAACGATTATTTTCTTTACTAACTTCACTATCAGTAACATTGTTATCAGTTGATGATAAGGATGATTGATGATTATCAAGCCGGTTTGATCGTGCTTGAGATAATACTTGAAATTTTTTCTTTTTGACAATAAATTGAGCTGATTTTAACAAAGACACGACTTTAGCTTTTGTTCCAACTTTTAAAGTTATAGATTCTTGAGATATATTACAAATCTCGTTTTTCAAATTAACTAATTCACTTGTAGAATGTTCATCATTAGGCTTTTCAAAGAAATCGATTAATTGATGTTCATCAACCTGACTAAGAATTTTATAACGATCAATATCATGATATTTTAAGATTTTTGCAACAGCTTTCCATATCGTTCTTCAATATGTTCAAAAAAACGTTCATTTGATAGGTCGATTAATTGATCAATTTCAATATCAATATTATCCATTATTCAATTAAATAAAATGTAACAAGTGAAAAAATAACAATTTGTAACTTAATCAAAATCTAAATCAATATAAGGATTGATAATTCACTAGTTTTTTTATTTTTAATTCTTTTATATCAATTATATGTCAAAAAACCGTTACCATCGGATAGAAAATCTATTCGAAAGTTGTATAAGGAATTGAATTCAAGAAAGTTGCGAATACGTTCAGATGTCGCACGATTATGTATGATTGATGGATATTGGCTAGATAAAAACAGTTGTATCATCATATTTGAACTCTACCTATTTGACTGAAAAGCTGAATTTCATGATTGCAATTCGTTAAAAGATGATTATTTACTTTCGACAAATAATAAAGACTTTGTATCCTTTATTTATAACTAAGTAGAAAAATGAGTTTGACTATTGACAATGCTTTCAGTTAGTGATAATTTCACAAGTTATTGAAAACTATTTTGGAAATTTTTGAAAATATGCTTGTATATTCAATAGAAATTTGCGGCAGAATATCATTTAAATATTTTTCACCTGCTATTTTATGACATGAGATGTTATATTGTATTCTGTGTTATCTTCTTTAAAAAAAATGATGCACTTGATTTTGAGATTTTTCGAAATATATTATACATGATCAATTAATTATTGATGTTCTTTCCACTCATTTCAATTAACATGCCTATCATTTTGCATCATTTAAATCAGATTCGTTGATTATTTTTATTGAAATAGCTCAACTATTTTAGAAAAAAATGGACTCATAGCATATTTTCCCAATTAATCCTGTACATAAAATATAGTCACTGAAAGATTACATTTGCAAAGAAGTTGTATGACAGCCTCGATTATTTAAAGCGAGGTTGTGCAACACTTTTATATCCAATCGTTATCGGTAGATTCTAATAATGGATACGATTAGCAGAATGAAAAATATCAGCATCTATAGTTTGATAGAATACTGTTTTCAAAAAAATCCTTGTTGCATGTGTATGCCATAATTTAAAAAAATGTTATGCTTAAAGGAAAGCCATGATATTGATATGAAAAACAATTTAGAGTTTGACATACTTCATCGTACTCTTTCGTACTCTCCTAATACTTCCCTGTACTCCTTCGGTACTCCCTGATACTTCCTCGGTACTCCTTTCATACTTCCCTCGGTACTCCCTTGTACTCCATCGGTACTCCTTCGTACTCCCTCGGTACTTCTTCGTACTCCCTCGGTACTCCTTCGTACTTCCTCGGTACTTCGAAGTACGGAAGTCTCGCTTTTTCCCCCTTGGATTGTGGTGAAACAAATTTCTCTTTCGATTGATGTGAAGTATGTAATGGACGTCTTGATGGAGGTTTGTATCAAGCATATTGTTTTGATATGGAACCAAATAAATGTAAAGCGATGTTATAAAAATTTATGTATTCCAGAAGAATTTTGAGAAAATGGTTCTGATGATGTCGATTATCTTGATCGATCTGATCAATTTGCCGATGTTTTATATCCAAATAATTGTTTTCAACATGCAACATTTCGTTACGAAGAACATTCATGTCGAATACATTGGTCTGATTATCCATTTGGAGAAAGACAATGTGTGGAAACATTCGACCTATGTCATAATGGATGTCATCTTTTATTAATTGAATCAATATCAAATCAAGCCTATTTATCAATTAATTTTTCAATTGCAACGATGTGTCTTACCCAACTTGTTAAAGAAATTCATGAACTATTATATGAAACATTGTTTGTAAACAATTTTATTTCTGGTTATATTAAAAATTGTGTTTCTGCACATTTGAACTTCAGATAAATCCAGTGCATATAAATTATATTGATTTTTATATAAACATACTTCAGACAAAATATAAATATATATTCATTTTACCTGCTTGTATTTATGATGATAAACAATTTTATGATTGTATGAATACAATATATGTCCATAAAAATTGACCTTGTTTACATAGTTCTTTAGTAGATTTCACATCAAGTATTAATGAACATATTTTGATTGATATAATTTTCATAATTGAATGTTATTTTAGTTTATGCTTTAATTCTTATGCATAGATTAATTATAAAAAGTAATATAAAAATGAAACATCATTATTCAAATGTAAAAATTTATCAAAATTAATATCAAAAGGGTGTCTGTGGGTATGGATGTAGATAAAGTGAACACTCACCCTTGAAAGATAAGTCGTATAGTTTTTTTGAACTTGAGTTTCTCGTTCGAAGTGTAAATATTAGAATGAATTCTCTAATTGAAAAAAAAACGAAAACTGTATTGCGTCGAATATTAAACTTTCACGACTGAGAAATAGGTCGGGCATGTTTTTTCTCTAGGTAGTAAATTATCCCCTCAATCTCTATCATTTCTAACATGTTAAAGATCATTGCATTAAGAGATTGATAATGTCTTTTTTGTTGTATATTAATTGTTCTAAGGTAATTTAACAAATACCTTCTATTGATAGATTTTGTTGAAAAATGGATGTGTTCTCATCCAGCAATAATCTTTGCTAGTAAACAGTCTATGAAATTGCTGACTCAGCAAAATCTAAATTGTTTAACATACTGAGAAATTTGTTTTCCATAGCGAAGTTTTGCTGGTTTGTATGAATTTTGTGACGAAATGTTTACACAAGACGCATATAAAAAAATAAAATAAACGAAGAATATCAATCGATTTAGTATCATGTCGACTAGCATTTTTGAATGATTCGAAAAATCCAAATATATCATATTTATCGAATTTGTGAAATTTTCCTTGTCATAAACTCTGTTATCAAAGCTTTTCATGACTAATTCACAATTCTCTCTGCTTAAGAAAAACTGTCGATTCGTCAACTGAACTCTTTTTCTTAAAGACGTTATTCTCTCTCTCTCTATATATATATTTGTTTTTGATCATTTTCTATGCTCAGTGTTTTGCTTCTATGTATTACATGTCAGACACAAAAATGTTTTCATTTTCGAGATTATCATTTTGTTTCTTCTACCTCTCTATTATTTTTTTCTAGTTTTTCTCGTCACTACAGTAAGTCGCTTGGTGTCTGTGTACAGAATCTAAACAATTATTAAGATTGAAACAACCCTTATCTATGGAAAAACCAAGACGACGATCAAGATCAATTCATAAACTACAAATATAAATAATAACAAACTATGTACTTGATTTTGACGTATTCTATCTTTCTTGATTTTCACCGTGTTTCAAGCTTGACCATTTTCAATTTTTTGAACATTTTTTTTTCGATTATCTTCTAAAATTGAACGATAATAAAATTGTTCTAAAATATATATGGAAACATCGTTTATCGTACTTTCTGTGTACATAATCAACAATTCTATCGTTGTATAACTATATTAGATGGAAAATATCTTCTTCTCTAGTATTGTTAAGAAAACTACGAACTGTATAGAACTTTGTGTCTTCAAACGCAATGTTACTAAAGTCCACTTTGTAAACAATTAAAAAGACTTATAAGCGACAAATATGTCGAGATACTGAACATACTGAAAGATATTTCATTCTAAATTTGTATTCATTGTTATAAACTGGATCAATGAACTAATCCGTATGAGAGTATGTCGAGAAAAAAGGAGTTTTCTTGATTATGAAGAAGATCGATCATGTTCGGGTCAAATGAAGCTCTCACTGTGAAACTAATAAATTTAAAATGTTATGTGCCCATAGCATACCGAAAGTGAGTTACTTAAATCACAAAGTATGTGAAGTTTTGGCATAAAAATGAATCAAGAAAGGCTTTCTCCGCCATTGTAAAGAAAAGACATGTTGTTCCTCAAGCCTGTCATGGGTTTAAAGGAGAGCTCTTTCATACAGCTCGAACAACAACATGCTTTGTCTTCATAATAGCGGAGAAAACCTTCCTTGATTCATTTTTATGCCAAAAATTCACATACCTTGAAATTTAAGTAACTCGCTCTCGATATGCTCTGGGCACGTAAGATTTTAAATTTATTAGTTTGGCGGTGACAGTTTTCATTTAACCCGAACATGATCAAACTTCTTCATGAGCAGTAAAAAAGGTTCGATTGTAAAAAATTCAGTATTGTGTAATTGTGACAACATTTAAATCTTATGGAAAAAGCTATTAAAATATCGATTTCTTCTTTTGAAATACAATGTGACTTTGAAATTTTTAGGTTATTCATTTTATTATATTCATCCGCGTCACCCGATGGGCACTTCGGAGTCACCCCCAAAAGTTTAGACTATTACTGCTTCTCTTATGATATCCACAGCAATTTGCGCTATTCGCCCCATTGCGTCTAACTACCTTGTATCCTGATACAAATAGATACATGGGTCTTCAATACGGGACTTTCTTCTTGTTGAATTTCTTCTCGGGTCTTTATGGCGAGCATATCGACCTCTAACTTCAGTCTTATGGTTTCTCAGCTAGATGGTTCTTTATGATTCGACTAGTTCCCAAGACAGCGCTACGTTGTAACCTCTCGATACATCTCTCGGTTTCTTCCCTGCTCAGATCGAGTGCAACCTTTACTTGTTCGTGTAATTCCGAAAGCACTTCACCATTAGTGCCAATTACGACCGGTAGAAATGTAACTTCCCAACCTTTGGTTTGTAATTCACGTAGTAAATTATCACCCCTCGGGTATGGTACATTCAATTCATCATCCCAGTTTCCATTGACACAATAGCGATTTCGTTTTATTTCTATTTGTTTTTGAATGCCTGTAAACCAGGACACAGCGACTTCGATGATTAGAGCCGTCTTCCCAATCTTATCAAAGATAGTAAGATCAGGTTTGTTATGACGAATGATAGTCTTTGTCTGCACAGGTTGGTTCCAGTACAGCTTAATCCTATCATTCTCTTGAACTGAGTCTATACGTTGTGTGTAATGTGGAGGAGTGAGACCATATATTAGACATAATTTGTAGTATATGTTTCTAGCTACAGAGTCGTGTCGGTCTACATATAGGTTAGGCAGCCACTTGGAACAATTAGAAACCACATGTTCAATTGTTTCACTAGTAGCCCTACATGCTCTACAATTCTTATCGGTGGAATTAGCTGCATAGGCAGGATGAGTTTTAGTTAAAAGACATCCTTCTTGCGCTGCTAGAACATTTCTGACTGCTGTCGATGACAGTTTGCCTGCGCTTAACCACGCAAATGAGGCCTTCGGATCGACATTGCTTGTCGGACGTAGAACACGTCCCGCTAATACCAGTCCTTGCCATTCTTCGTACCTAATGTTATTATTATGGGTACGCATTAGTGAGACCACGTGTCTCGCCAATGTTCTGGCATCTACAAATCGTGCACCATCCAAGATAACGGTTGAATGTGCTTCGTCTAAATCAAATTTGATGTTATATGATTTTAGAACACTCGCAGCATCGCTTACAACACAACGCTTCCCTCTGTTTGCCATACTAACAAATAGATTGAGAGAATTTCTCATATCTGCTTTCGTACAAAGGTATGCCCAAGAGTATATGGTAGATTCTTGAAATGAATCCTTAACTGATTTCAGACCATATCCTCCAAGCTCAGTTGTGAGGTATAATCGCGCTACACAACTTGCTTTGTATCGAGCCTTCAGTTCCACGAGGATCTTCCTGAAACCTTTATCTATATTATCACCTTCTTTTAGGGCACTTGAATATTTCCCACCACCTTTGATTATGCAGTTCATTACATAACTGAATGCAGGTATTACAGTGGTATTATGGGTGTTCACCTTTTGCCTAAAGGTGAGATCTGAGCCCCATAGTTGCCGTACAGTGTTGTAACACTTGTCTTTCACCCGATCTAGGGCGTCGCACTCCTTTAAACCTAACTTCTGTTCGATTCCCAAATATTTGTAAACCGCCTCCCCATCCAGCATCGGAAAACTTATGTCTCGGTCAACTGGTGTGTCGGTGTCTGCATTGATCTGAGTCTTTTGCAGAAGTCGTTTCGGGATAAAGTGTGTTTCGGCACATTTATTCACATTCAATTTCATGCTGATGTCTCTTGAAATTGATTTCACTACTCTTTTCTGCTTGGCTAGGCTTTCTGACGAACTCGCATATAATTTCAGATCATCCATATAGAAGAGATGAGACCAAGACGCTTGTAAGCCTTTTAACTTTCCAGATGTTGTGACGTATCCACTTCCCACGCTATTAATAGCGTGGCTGATAGACGCCATCGCTAAGCAAAATAACAGAGGACTGAGGGTATCCCCTTGCAGGCAACCGGATCTTATTTTTAAGTAGTTGCTCCGCTCTATCTTGCCTCCTGGACCTCTAATCTCGTACTTTACTCTCCACATGCTGAATAGGCTTTTAATAAACATCATTAACGAATTATGAACATTGACTACGCCTAATAACCACATAATATAGTTATGTGGCACACTGTCAAACGCTTTACTATAATCGATCCAAGCGACACTTAAAGACCTTTGTTGTCTACTTTGTGCGTCTGATGTTAGTGTGTGGTCGAGCGTGTGTGCGTGTATACAACCCCATATACTAGGCCGCAGTGCTATTTGTTCTATGGGTAGTATATTATTACCCCTTATTTGCTTATCGAGATAAGCTGCTATATAACCCGTTAGTAGCTTGTAACAAGTGTTTAAACAAGCTATGGGTCTGAAGTTATTTGGATCAGACCTAGGCCCATTTTTGTGAAGAAGTACTATCCTTCCATCGGTAATCCATCCCTTTGGTAAGGGTTCACCGGAAGTCACGTGTCGTAGCACCAATCGGCGTAAAGTATTGTTCGCATAGGGGAACACTTTCCACCAATATGATTGTATACCATCTGGACCGTGAGCTTTCCATGGTTTTGCTTTCCGTACCACTTTCTGCCATAATTCTAGACTTAGACTTTCTCTAAGATTGTCATCATCCGGAATTTCTGGCGTCGAGTGTTTCCATGCTAACAACTGAGCACTCTTTGGATTGAACGTCTTTTTCACTCCAACTATTCCTTTCCAGAAACGTCTAATTTGATGAATATCAGACGTCTCATCCTCTTCCTTTGCCTCCATACTTCGCAGTACCGCCTTGGCTGGCATCTGTCTGACGCGTATGCGTTTTTCATCTGCCTTCCTCAGCGCTACTCGCGATTGCAGTAGCTGAAGTCTATTCTTCAGTTTTTCTACAAGAGATGTTATGTCAGCAGAGGTCTCCGTATCGTACTTTTTCATTAACAACTTAATGTTTTTCAGTTGTTTCCGTGTTGGAGCTACTTCCGATCGTTCTCTTCGCCTGAGCAGTTCAGCTGTTGCCCTACCGATGGTTATCCGAAGGCTGTCCATTTCCCTATATGAATTTCTGAACCATTCCTGTGACCGAAATTTCTTTTCAGCCATTTCCTGGTTTCCTATCTCAGATACAGTCATAGCTCCAGCATATACCAGAATAGATAACTGATCCCATGATAGGCCACCTTTCCTTCTAGAGTTCGCCATTAGTTCGTTGACCGCGCAGATGATAGGTTTTATATGTTTGCCAGAGACTCGAAGTGGAGCCTTTCTTTTGTTTGGCTGGCAACCTATCTTCCTTGCCCTTCTCAAGTTCTTTTTGAAGCTAGCTCTTATAGCTTCGGTGATAATTGCAACCGCCTGATCGTTTCCTCTCGGTTGCTCTTTAGGAGTTACGACGGCTTGGTTTACACCTTGAATCTTAATTTTATCTTTATTTGAACGTTTATTCAAGGCTAACTCTGTGACCGTGTTATCAGAGTTCGCTGTAGGTCCATCCTGAACCCCAGCCGAATCACTTAGGTGCAAGCTCGATGACTTGATTTTAAGATCATTCCACTTGCCGCTGAGACCCGCTTTTGATCTTACAGCTAGGTTTTTCGATGTTACTAGCAGCTTCCAAGCTTCTTCGACCTTTACCCAGGAAATTTTCCCCTTCGGATCAGTATTAAGACCGACCAGTCGAGTCAACTCTTCAGCTTCATTGTCCGTCCATAGGACTGATTTTACCAGCCGAGCTGGGTTTACTACACCCGGTCCTTTTTCCTTAGTCGGAATTGAATCGAACCGATGGGTGAGTTGGGCGACCGCATGAACGCCAACGGTCATATGTTGACCTTCTTGGCTAGGAGCGCCGACCGTCTCCGTTGGTGGGACTGCTCGGGCACTCCTAGTTGCGTATCGTTGATGTGTACTGGCTATCCCCAGATTTGGCCGCTTTACGGAGAACGAATCCCCTGCGTTTCCAGGCCCACCGCAATAAGACATTTATATTTATATCCTTTTTAATAGTTTCGTTTATGGGTAGCCAGAAAATGTAGTTTGCATGCGAGGAGGTATCTGTTGGGCCCTATATTCATCTACTTATATCACTACAGTGCTGGCCAAAAGTCCGTCACCACCCTGAACTTTATCAATATCTCAAGCTTTTGGCTTGAAATTTTGGCTGCATGTATGTGTTGATAAACTCTGATCGCAGACACCAAGTCGACATTAATTCAACGTAATGGAATAGAGTTATACATGAAACACTATCTTTACCTTAGATTACTCATATCTCAGCCATATAGGCACTTTGAATTCGGCGAAATACATCATTCGAAAGCCTGACTCATAAGCTTTATCCAATGAAATTTTCATCAAAGAAATCTTTCAAATTGCTGAGATATTACACTGCCAAGCGATACCTACCGAATCTCAATTTTGATGATTTTCAACTTGTAGGAATGAAAATCACGTTTATATTATCCAAATCGCTTGAAAATTTTATTTCAGCATTCTTATAGGCCTACAAATATTTTCTGAAAATTTCAGACGTATAACATGTACGAAACTGGCAAAATGACGATGTCATGATCTCACTGGTGTATACTCTACCAATCACTTATACTTCAATGAATTGAAGTGTTCTTTCTACCCAGCATTGTACATATTAAAAGCTATATTTATCACTCAAAAAAATTCCTATATATCCTTCTCTACTAGAATATTATCATTTTTCTTTCATAGAATATAACTGATACTGATTAACTATATAAATGGAAAGAAAAAAATATATTATAAGTAAAAATTTCATAATATATTAATGGAGCGATAATAGGCTTAGCTTTAAGATCATCATATTTAATGATTTAGAACAGTTATCAGCATTAACTAGAACTTTCTGAATCGCTATAAGAATATATATTGAAAATTCTATAGCAAAACTATACACATATCAGAAAATTTCATTGAATAGAAGAATATAAATTACACATAGAAAATCTTTCTTATTCTTTTTTATTCATATATGATGATACAAATTATACTGAAAATGAATTACATTAATACATCGTGTAGTCACCAGCTGCATCAATAACACTTTCGATGCGATATTTCATACTAAACATTAGATTTTCAGCAAGTTCTTTTGGTAATAGATTCCATTCCTGTTTTATTGCCTTGATTAATTCTTTTATATTCGATGGTTTTCTCATGGATACTTTTATTTTTAAAAGTGCCCAAAGATTCTCCATCGGGTTCATATCGGGACTGAAGGCTGCCCATGGCAACTGCTTTATATCATGTTGTGCCTTCCAGTCTCTTGAGAACGTTGAACGATGTTTGGGGTCCTTGTCTTCCATTAATAACCAGTTTTTACTACGGCCGAAAACGTTTCTAGCTGTTGGCAAGAGTCCGTTTTGATAAATTTCATTGCATAAGAAATGACTGTGAAGATTTTGCTTAAACAAAATAATTTTTCCAAATCCTTTTGCTGTCATACAGCCCCAAACATTGATCTTTAATGGAAATTTTACTGTTCTCCTAACAGTTCTATTACCTGGAAATTGCCAATGCATATGACGGATAGTATTTAAACGAAATGTTGTCTCATCTGTTGCTATGACATTATTCCAATCTTGATTTCGAACCAGCTTTGCCCATTGTAAACGATCTTGTTGATGTTTTTGTGTTAAAAGTGGTTTAGATAATGGTGTACAATATCGAAGACCAGCATCTTTTAATCGTCGACGGATTGTTCTTTCACTCACAATCAAATTTTGTTGTTGAACGTGGTCTCAAACCTTTTTACTAGTTGGTTCTTCGACATCAAATGTCGCGTCAACGATAAACTCATCATCTTCTTGTGTTGTTATTCGAGGAGTACCACTTCTTGTTTTATCACCAAGATATTTATAAATTTTCCACCGAGCCAACCATTTTTTAACAGTCGACGTATTGCATTTCACCATTTTGGCTATTTTTTTAATTCCAAAATGTGGTCCATACCTATGCTTCGATAGAAAAACAATTTCATAACTGTTAGCTCTCATATGTATAGAACGAAAGGGACAAGCAGTGTCACTGATGTTATGTGACAGAACGATGAAAAAGATGACCTTCGTGGGAATCGAACCCACACCTCCTGCTATCCGGGCAGGTGTCCTAAGCCAATTAGACTAGAAGGCG